GCCAACAGGCCCACCCCACAGTGCCCATGTACATGAGCTCCTTCTTGGCGATGGGCACACAGCGATTGGGCATGATCTCCACCATGCCTGTGGGATGGATAGGAGAGGATAAGTCTCTTGATGGCTTGAGGGTGCCTGCTCTCATCCAGCTTGGAGATATTTCCCATTCTCCCATCTCACTCTTACAGCCCTGATCTCCCATCCCACCATCTTTTCTGCTCCGTGCCTACTGCACTGCCCTGTACAAATCCAGGGACAGAGAGTGAGCCCAGAGTGAGCCTGGTCTGCTCCTGTGGCATCCCAAAGGTTGGCCATGCAGCAATGAGTCCCCCCTTTCCCATGCACGTACACATAAGGTCAAGGGAAGCTTGGTGATTGCAGACCATCACATAGGGCCCCTTGAGGTTGAGATGCTCAGATCCCAAYACCCGCATCTTGATGCCAAAGCAACGTTTCAGGGGCAGGATAGCAGCACACAGGATCCTAGGGTAGAAGAACATGTGTTGGAAGCAGATCAATGCAGAGGGGACCMTCTTGATTTTTCACAGCCTTCCATAATCACTCAGGTAGGAAAGTGTGATATGAACTGGGTTAAATGTGAATAAATAGTGTGTCCTACAGTCATTTACGACCTCAGCTGTGCTTTGTGGTCCTTTGCTTTTCTAAGCACATTTTTAGCCTGCACCTCTCAGAGATAACCTGGACAGAGGGGTCATCCTGGATTAGCGCTGTTCCCAGGAGAGGTGGCTGGAGTCTCAACAAACGTTCCTACAAAGAGGAGCTTTGGAGGATGGTCTGTGCAGAGATACCCATGGAGACTTCTAAGATGCGGTCTCCAGCTGTGACATTTCCGGTGTGACTAACACCAAGCCAACTCAGGGCGAGAGCAGGAGAGACTCATGCAACACCATGCCTTATGCAAAGAACATCTGTCAGGAAATGAGATAAGCCAGGAGGTGATAAAGTGTAGAGGAGCATGGGGGTGAGGCAAGGGAAAGGACTGCACTTACATAACCAAAATCAAAGCCAGTCATGCGACAGCACCAGCTCTGCCAGAAGCTCTACCAAGGCCAGGGAGGGATAATTATGTTGTCTGCATGTGACAGCTGTCAAGCAAGGGCTTTGCATCAAGACGAGCCATATYGGGACTATATTGGAAGGGATCGGGAACAGACAGGGGGTTTTCATCCATGCTGATAGTAAGGGAACAAGGAAGACTGGATTCACCATTCAGGGAGGGGTGGACAGGAAGGGTGAGGATGGCAGCGCTTGATGAAGGATGACATTGAATATGAGAATACAGAGAGGAATGGGAGGAGGATGTAGCAATGGGATTGCAACACTCACAGTAGGGGCAAAACTGGGAACACTTTCAGTGTTGACATGATTGAAACAGGACATTCTCTGGCTTGTGGCATAGAGACCATCAGCACAAGGGACCAGACATACAGCGGTAAATGCTCTAGAAGAGTCTGACAGCAGCTGCAGGGGACATCACTGAGAGCAAGTCCTCAGCATCAGGTAGGGATGAGAAGTTAGCGGGGAGAGAGGAAAGGTAGCCCAGATGGAGAAGCTGAGTTAGAGATGGTTAGAGGGAGCTCCGTTGTGTCAAAGGATCTCTTGGGAGATGTAGACTCAGAGATCACAGGGATGCAATGCCTGGGGAGAAGCAAAATATAATAGAAATTCCAAGTGGCAGTGCTCCACATTCAGGACTAATGACAGGAACTTGCTCCAAGCCAGAGGCTTTGTGATTTGGAGGCTGCAGGGGAGGAGACAGAGGTGGGCATGCTGCTCSCGAGAAGGATGACAGTGAGGTGTCAGTGGTACAAGATAAGGCAGCTCTGACTCAAGGCTGTGTCACATGGGGTATTTCCACTAAGCCGGAAATGTTCATGCTGGGGCTCAGATCATCTCTGCATGCCAGGTAGAGCATGCGCACATGTATGTGTGCATGGCAGGGCTGCAGAGAAGGGATGAGGGCAAGAGACATGACACAGTACAGCAGATAACATCCGATCTTTGAACACACTCCTGCCAAGGGCCCAAAATACATCAACACAAATACATGATTTCTTGAGCTTGGCAAATATCACAGGCTCAGACACCTCTCACTTTGAATAATTATATATCTTTTTGTATACTATCATGTTCAGAAATCCAGTAATAAAGCTGTAAAGTCTTTGAAGTACCTAGACCTTCCTCCTATGTTACAGTGATGTTATCTCCACTGCCGCCACTCCCTGGGAGTGCAGCTGACAACTCTCTGCTGCAGAGCAGCACCAGAACAAGACTCGCTGCCACACAGCTGCAGCGTGCCCAGGAAATGATGTTACGGAGAAATCCTGAAGTGCTTCAGCTAAAGCTCCGTCCCCAAATTTCCCCGTGAGAAGATATGGCTGCGCTGCCAGGGAGCTGGAAAGGGGTGTGCATGTGCTAATGGTAACCTGCTAATGATTATCACCGTCACCTTGCCAACTCCACACATCTGTCACCCAACTGATGACCCCAGCTTTGTAATGAGCATGAGTAATTGTTGTACTGTCTTGTCCTCCAAAGATTATCTGGTCTAGACATAGCTGGCAACCTCCTTCCTGGTTAACCCTCTCTCATAACACTGTGGCCAGCACCTCTTCACCACATCAGAAGAGGCAGATGCACCCTTCACCGCTATGCAGACATAACCAGAGCCCCACTGATGCCCTAGGGCTGAGAAATGGACCGCATGGATGCAACACATAGTCTTGACCATAACATGCCTGTGGGTATGCCCAGGGCGAGAAAAAGCCTGTGTCCACAAGACAGTGCAACTCTTCCAGCACAGCTAATCCCCAGGTACCTTCGCAAAGGAAACACAAACCCAAGCCATACTCACTTCATGTTCTCCACGGTACGTCCCCGAAGAGCAGCATAGGGGGAGAGGAAGGTTGCCATAGCTGCAACCCAGCAGTTGAAGAAGGCCATCTTGCAGAAGTACTGGACAGTCACACTGTATTGGTAGAGCAAGAAGGCTGCGAAAGGGAGGAAAAGCAGCAGCCCTTGGAGCAGGGCCACCTCCATCTCACTGTCGAGGCAGGAGGATTCTGGGGAGCTCAGTCAATGTTCTCCAGAGCACGACAGGCTGAGCATGAAGATGCTGAGCAGCGCGGCAGATGAAGGGGTTGTATCAGTGTGTGGGCGTTCTGGGCTGGCCCGGGGGAAGGACCTGCATGTCTCCTACTCTGTACAAAGGCTCGAGGATGGACTGGCTCAGGCTGGGGCAGGCACATCAGCTGGAGTGGGTGGCGAAACGTGGAGGTGAGACAGCACGGGAGATCCCGGGTCACTCAGAGACTCATTGCCAATAAATGCTCGGCCGGGTGATTAAAAGCCATTCCAATGACTTCAAGCTGATAGAGCCAGCTCTGCTGCCCAGAGAAATGCTCACACATCCCCTGTGCTCCGCCCCTGCCCTGAGGACACAGACTGTGAGCACCGATGGGTCCTGGGCAGGCGTGTGGAGTGCTAGAAGATCAGGACCTGGTGTCCCAGGATCCACAGGGATCCTCAGCCCAGGAAAAAGGGGGTAACTCAGGAGGCCAGCCTTGAGGGTGCTGCATCTGGTCCCTGTCCATCGCTCTGGTGAGCTGTGTTGCAGCTCTTCGTTGGCATGTTAGTTTACATGCAACSCTCACCTTGAGGATTAGTGGATTATCGGTGATTACCCTCCTGATGCTGCTTACACCTCCTTGCTCCCCTATCTGGATTGCAGGAGCTCTCCTGCTCTTCCCCTGCCAAGATCCAGTCYGTCCTTGCCCAGGCAGTAATTGCACAGGCCTGGGTCCTGCCACCTGCTCTCTGCCCGTCCTAGTGCTGAAGGAAATGCCACGTCTTGCCCCAGTTGGCAGCCAGGGCTTGCATTGTGCTACATGTTTGCTTAGGTGTAATGAGCGTGCACAGGGCTGTTATTAGCCTCTCCTGCCACTCTAATGCTTTCCACTGGGCACAGAGGATTCGGGACAGTTCTGGGTTGTTTTGCGGAAGTTTGGAAACTCGGCCCTTTYACTTAAAAAGCAAATGTTTGTCATTGCAGAGACATCTGCCTTGGCCTGCCAGCAGCATGGCCCAGCTGCCAGGACTGCWTCAGTCCCCAAACCCTGCCTGGGGACTGGGGACATCCAGGGGCTGCTGCCCAAATAGATCCAGTCCTCTCCAGCCATGTCAGATGCATCCTGCTATTAGCAAAAACACCCTCTCCGTTGCCTTCCGTGCCCAAGACCGCGCTTTCCTCCTGCAGCTACCCTGTGTCTCTTCTCATGTGGATTTGAGGAGATTTGTCTGTGCTCCTGATTGTGTCCTCCCTGGTGCTGATGCTCTCTGCTCACTCAGGTGGACCATGCTCCAGTTCGACCAGTGTGACCCAGAGAGGCCTCCCTGGTTTCCTTCTGCCCTGGGTGTTGCAATCCCCATTCTTTCACCCTTCCTCCATTCCTCTTGTTTGAGCTAATATTGGCACATCTTGAGGCCACCCTTCCTGCCCATCCCATCGCCGYGTGACTCCATTCCTCCTCCTTCCCTTTCTGCCCATACAGACGCAGAAACTTTGGCGCATTAACCTGGTTTTCCATGAGCTTGAGCTCTTGGTGTGCTCCCAGCTGGGTGGCATGAGCCTCCCTACAACCACCCTTGTGTTACTGCCTCTCTTTCCAGGCTCCGGGACATTCCCTCAGCAGGGTGTGGAGAGCCTGGGCTGGGGACACAGCAGTCGGGGGGTAGCATGGCAATATCCAAACGCCATCTGCACCCACTCTCTGCCATTGCCACCATGCACAGGGGGGACACTGACAGCTCTATAATCTCAGGRCCCACATTGCTCCAGCATCTGGATCAGGCAGCGGTTCTGCCCAGGCTTGAAGGGCTCACAGCCCCGCTTCATCCCTGCTGCGGTGGGCTTGGAGAGAGCTCTGCACCCAGGCACAAAGGCAGCAGCCTGGGTAATTACAAATGTTTAATTAGTGACAGCATGGAGCTTCCTTCACAAAGCAAATGGATTGCAGTTAATGTGCTGCATTAAGCTCCCAAGGAACTAATGCAGACCAAGGCCACCTGAGTTGGTGTCCAWATCTCCCAAGGGGTCACAGCACAGCCCACAGTGAGCCTGTTATGCAGAGTCCTCCTGGCCTGGCTGCAGGACCTGTTCAGGTGGGACCGGAATGTCACTGCTGTCCTGCTGGGGATGGGCTGACTGTTCCCCACTGCAGAGCTGCAGCAGAGACGCTGGACATGGAGTCAATGCCTGTCCCATCCCAGGCTCATGCAGTCACCCAGGTTCAGCAGGAGGCTCCAGACAGCTGAGGCTGGTGCATTTTGGTAGGTACTCGCACCTCTTTCCGTGGGTGTGATGGGGCAGTGCCTGCAGCAGCTGCCKTTGCTCTGGCAGCATCTTCTGGGGCCAGGCGCTGGGACACGCAAGAGAAACCCTCTCTGCAGGCACAGAGCTCACAGCCTGCCCTCCTCCAAGTCATAGTACTCTGCAAAGAGAAAGAGGTGCCTGGAGCAGTCCTGTCCAGCATCCCCAGCAGCCAGGCCTGCACAAGAGCCACCCGGGACTCAATGGAGGGAGGGAGCAGGGAAGGCTCCGCAGCTGGGATCTGGAGGACACACTGAGGGCTGCTTTATGCGTGGAGTGGGTAGAGACCTCTCCGTGGTGTTGATGTGCCCTTACCCGAGGCTGGCGGGACATTGGCTCCCACAGTCCCTGTAGCGCTGGGGGGTGGCGGGGGAGGCACCGCACTGCTGGAAAGGATCGAGGACAAGGGTGAGCCCTGCCCCAGCATTGCTCCAGCCTGGGCTGGAGGTCCAGTTGCACTGGAACCTTTACAGACAAACACGGGGCCCTGCAGCGGGTGGCACAACGTTACTCACACCTCCCCATCCTTGACTGCTGAAACTGGGCCCAGGTAGCGTACAGCAGCTGGCCTCGGAGCCTGTGCTGGTGCCAGGACTGGCCAGGCCATGAGGGCACCGGGACCGAGGCGGGGGACATAGTGATGGTGGAACACCACTGCTTCCTCTTCCCCATCAGTGTTCCAGGGCATCGTGGTCATCTGCAGAGAGACAAAAAGCAGAGTTTTGTGTGGCCCCATTTGACAGTGCAGCTCGCTCCAGCATGCACAAGCCRTGCTGGGCTGAGATGCTCTCCCAGGGCCTGGCGCGGTGGGCTCCATCCCACACAAAGCAGGAGAACATCCAGGCTGCAGCCAGAGCTGAGCCGGCTCCGAACAGGAGGGACGTCAGGATGTCAGCAGCATCCTGGGGGCACCAGCATCGTGTGCAATCCCAGCTTGTGGGGAGACAGCACTTCCTGTTCTCCCAGGGGAGAGCTCAGCCCTGCAGAGGGGACCTCTACGTCTGCTCCCATTTTTTCTCCCTATGCTGGTGCTATGGGGCTATTCTGGATAGTTTTCAGATTGAGGCAATTCAGCAATGCTGTTCGGAGCACGGCTGCAAGGACACGCACTTGAGTAAGGGTGGATGTAGAAGAGAGCAACCCCAAAATGGGGTCCCTGAAGCAAAGCGATGCCATAAAGACATGATCACCCCAAGTCAAGACCGCCTGCTTTAGGTGTAGCAAAGTCACCACTAAGGACAGAGTCCTTGGAGAGCCTTGGTGGAGAAGGCATGTCCACCTTATGTCCCCAGTATTATCCAGCCTCCCTGATCCTCTTACCTGGGCAGACGATGGAAATGGCCCCAACCCAAAGGACATCAGTGCTGACACGGCCAGACTGTTCATCACCACCTGGTGCATTTGGGAGTTTTGAATCATCATCAACTTGATTAAATCTGTCAGAGASCAAGGGGCCCTGTGTCAGAGAGGGGGGAAAGCAGGGCAAGCACACGAGACACACAGCTCAGCAGTGGTCCCCTTGGGGCTGTGACAGAGTAGCAGAGCCTTGTCCCTGTGCCCACATGGTGGGAGCTGAGCCAGAAGCTCCCAGGTGGCTCAGATGGCATTTTAAGATGATTTTATCTATATAATGCTTTAAAATATATGCATTTCATATATATATATATATTTATGAGATTGAACATCTGGTCTGTCTTGCTGAAGACTGGTTACGAAAGATGATTAGTGGTGCGGGAGACATCAGACTCTCCGCCCTTTCTGAGAATTGCTCTGGCAGCTCCCAATAACTTGGCAAGTCTCCTGATTACCTCCAAGCGAGCGCTGGTGCCTGTGAGCTGGCACCAGGAGGGAGCATGGAGCAGGAGCCAGCAGCAAGCCCAGGGCAAAGCGCAGTGCGCAAGGAGCACAGTGGGTCCACCCTCAGCTGGGAGAGCTCTACGGATGGTTGAAACCTCCTCTCCAAGTGTCTGTGAATTGCTGGAGGAACTTTCTCCATGGCCCTCTGCAGCACACTGTCATGCTTGTGTATGAGATCCATGAGCGTCCATTAGCTGGAGCCCTGGGAAAAGGAGGCCTCAGCATCCCTGTGCCCTTCATGCAGCAGCTACATCCCRACGTGTTCACCTCGCTTGTCCAACTCCTGAATGCCCATCAGGAAACCCGTCCCRCCAGCAAAGAGCATGACAGCACATCTTGGGAGGTGGCTTTAGCTCGGAGACCAAGCAGTGAGGAGGGAACAGGCCTGAAGCCAGGCATTGATCCGGGAGGAGGAAACATGCCCAGCTCTGGCTGCTTCTTGATGGATCCCATCCATCCCCAAAGGCCATTGCTGTGACGATCCAGCCCCTTCTGCAGGCCTCTGACGTGTCTCGCAGGCACATCACGTACCAACATCTCCCCTTCTCCAAGGGACAGCAGAATTGCTTCATCTGCCTGCAGATTTGAGCTTCTTGATCACATCACCGGCGGCTCTCAGCTCCAGGGCAGCAAAGCTTTGCTGCAGGTCCCATAGCACCCTCCAAGAGCACATGGTTATTGGACTCACCTGGGCTTCACCCCATGGTGTCTTCCAGGGACCACAAAAGCTCCTGGCTCTTTTCTGTACTCGTTTGCTCCCTCTAAGGGCTTTTTGGATGCTGTATTGGATGAGTTTAGGAGAAATCATTGGAGAGAATCCTTCTTTACTTCTTCTTGCCATGTCACATGGCCTCTGGGCTGGCACATGTCTCCTCTGCTCACAGCTATGATGTCCAAGGAGCCTGGATCTCCCTGGCTTCCTTTGGTAAATGTGAGGGGAGACTCACACCTTCATGAAATGGGATTTCAAAGGCTGAAGACAGGTGAACTTCGAAGAACAGACAAAACTGTCTGCCAGGAACAACCTCGTGTGCCCAGAGTCAGCCCAAACTTCACATTTGGCAGAGCCGCTAAAAAAAAAGCAAATTGTAGGAAAAAAAAAAAAAAAAAAAAAGGCTATTGAAGCACAGAGAAGCCGTCTCTGCCAAGAACGTGGGCCACAGAGCACCCACACACCCATGTCAACACGCAAGAGACAAGCAAGAACGGTGAGTGATGAGATCCCCCAGCCCTTGTCTTGTGTTTCGTGGTGTGGGGGTTCATGAGGACACTAATCATCCTCTGCCCCGCAGTACATGATGGGTTTGCTCATGGGCAGGGAGTGGAGCAGCAGAGCCCTTTCCAAAGCTCCRATTGCCATGTTTTGACATTGCAAAATGGCTTGGAGGCAAAGCTCTCTTTACAGCAGCATTACTTAACTCCTAATAAGGCTGGGAAAGAAAAGAGACCAACACAGAAAAGATAGAAGAGTGGGAATGCCACCATCTGCTGTCACGCACCTCCCTGGACACGCTGGGCTCTGGTGGGCTGGGCCAGGGCAGCAGTGGTCCCGGGAAGCTGCTGGAGGATCGTCAGCGACTGCTGGGGAACCTGCAGAGCCCCACAGGGACATGGGCCAAGTCAGGGCCGAGATGAAGGAGGGCTCTCACCTGCCACCCTTCTGCCCTGTCCTGTGCTCCAGGTCCATTTCTCCCATGCATGGYCCATCCTGGACCCTTGTGAGCCTGGTCTGTCTCCTATATCCAGGAGACATGGCTGCATCTCCAGGGCTTACCGCATGGTGGGCAARGTAGGTCCCTTCTGGGGTGTCTGTCCAGGTCCCATCAAGATCCCCTGCTTGCCCCATGTCCATGGCTTGGGCAGGCGATGGGCAGCCAGGGCTGGAGGAGGCTGCAGGCGGGAGCCGAGTGCGTTGCTATAGCTGCTGTGCCTAAACAAACACTCCCTGGAGGGTTGGCCGGGGGAAGGAGCCACCTCGAGCTGGATGTCCCAGTAACAGACACCCAGCCCTGATGTGCTGCTCTCAGCACAGCCAGGACAGGGCTAGATGGTGCCCAGGGGATCTTGCATCTGGAGGAAACTTTCCCACACCCTGCAGGGATGCAACCGTGTGCTCACTAGGGATCCTGCCTTTAGTAGCTCATTAGACATTTTAGTTACTGGGAACCTGGATTAACTTTTGGCAGCTGCAAAACCCTTGTGGCAACCAGATCCAGGGTTTCAGGGATGTTTCTCATCATCATTGCGTGGGAACCCACCACCATACCATCCCGTGGTACTTCCTGGCTCCTCTGCAGGGTRAGACCATGGACATTCTGCCCCCATGTTCATGCCATTGGCAGGGTGACTGGAATTGAGAGCCTGGGATAACCAGATGTCCGACCTGGCACAGTGGACTCTGCCAGTGGGCAGAGGTTCCTGGGAATCATGCCACATGTTCCTGGTCTCCTTACATGGGGGCAAAAATGCCCTTGCATCCCATGGGATGTCTCGTTGAAGACTGTAAGATGAAATGTGCTACAGTCATGATGGGCCAGGTGCCACTCAACATGGATGGGGACAGTCCTGAGCCACCTGCTGTCRTGGTGCCCATAGGTCACCTCAGCCRGGACCTGCTGGATTCCTCCCACTCTGCCAATCACTCAGTACTAGTAAGTGGTCCAAGGTGACCGATATGGAGACCCACGGGAGCAGTTCAGCGTGGCGTGGGGACCGGTGTGTTTGCTGCTGCTGCCATCCCCATGCAGCCGCACTGGGGCAGGGCCTGGCCTTTTGAAACCAATGTTTTATCTTACTGGAAAGGAATGTTTATCTTACTGGAAAGAAAAACAGTCCCTTCCACGAGGCTAACAAAGGGCGTCATGTCCAGAGGGCTGTGCTCAGGCAGAAAATAAGCTCACCTTCTCCATTTATGTGTTAGACCAGCACCTCATGGTGAAACGCTCCAGGTCTCCTCAATCAGGGACGTTTGTGTCTCTGCGTGTGTAAAGCCATGAGACAACAGGGAATACCCCCATGATCCAGATCCAGGATGGAAGGTCAAACTGTTGGCTGTCCCAGGTCAGTCTTGCAGGAGGACTGGTGGGATGGGAGCTGGAGATGCTTGGACATTGCGTGGGGGTCCCCATGCCGCATGGCCTGCAGAAAGGGCTGCTGCTGGGGGCAGAATGTGCAGCAATGTTCTCCTGGCATCTTGCAAGCTCAGCAAACMACTCCTGGCCTTTTGCATTGTGGAGACACAGTTAAAAATCGGGCTATTTCCCACCAGTTAGGGATGTGGCCATCTGGTGTTTTTGCCACCAACTGGCACTAAAGAAACCAGCCCTTGCAGGAGGCCCTGGTTGCTGGGGGCCGCTGGGCCACCATGACTGTGGAGTTACCAGGACCATCGATCTGGACTCTGTTTTGTRTCTACGTAAGTATGGCTTCAACTTTTGCCAGCCTGGGCGTGGGGGAGTGGTGTCAGTGTCACTTGTGACAGCATCAGTTATGTTTAATATCAAGCTCCATGTCTRTGTTTTTAGGAGTATTTACTTCACCTGGTAATTTCGACTGAGGTCTTCAAACATCAAAGCAGTAATGCTGGTTCATACCATGCTCTGAGAAGTCGTGGAAGGAGCCATGGATCGTGGGATTTGCTGCCCTGCCAAGAAGCAGCAGCGATGGAGGACCACTACAACTGTAATGCTGTGCTGAAGCTGGCTCTGGGAAAGGGCTGGGGTCACAGCGTTGTGCCTGGCACCTCCCAGGGCACTTGGGGCATCTCTGCAGGTGAATCTCCCCTTGCAGCAGCTCTTGCACAGCTGCAGCACGTGCTCAACCGTCCGCTTCCACATCAGCTGTGAGCACCATTCCSTGGTGCTTTCCTCTCCTTCCACACCATGTGTAAGTGCAGATCAGCCTTCCTACCCTCCTGCAAGGGCCCTTAGGTGCTTGTCAGTCCCTGCCCTTGCTGCTCACCCCAGTGGCGCTGCTGAGTAGGGAGCTGGGTGCTCTGTGGGTCCTGGTCCTTAATCCACAGGGATCATCACAGCTACTTTCATTGCAACCTTGTTTTTATTATTTTTATTTATTATTATTTTTATTAAGATGGTGTGGTTTGAGCTGAAATTCCTAAAGCTACTTTATAGCATAGAGGTTGAGACACATGCAGAGAAGCCCCAGATGAGTCTCCTGAGAACCACAGCGACTGGCTTTGAGGACACCCTGTCTGGGCATCTGCTCTCGTGGGTGTTTGGGGTCTCTTTGCCGCTGCAGCTTTCAGGTGTTTTAGCCTGAGGTGCTGTGAGGGGCTGCCTGGGACGCAGCGTGATGCTCGGCAGGGTCCCGGGGTCCCGTCTTTGCTGACCGGGCGGCACCAGCAGCGTCTGTGGAGCCGGTGAGAGGCTCCAGGTGGGAGCGGATGAGGGGATGCCGGGGTCCTGGCGGGGCCTGGGCAGTGCCAGACTGGGGTATCCCCTGCCCTGTGCTGCTGGGCACATCCAGCCCCCGGCACAGTCGGGGGAGCAGAGGGTGGAGCGTGCAGCGCTACCGGCTCCAGGCTGTGACATTCCAAGCTGTGACATTCCGGCTTGAGGAGGGACGGAGCACGGAGGCTGGGAAAGCTGGGGGGAGGTCACAGCTGAGGGCTGGGGTCCCGCTGTGCCTGCCTGCACGCAGAGCCGTGGAGGAGGAGCTGGACCGTCCCTGCTCCCTTGGGTGCTGAGCCGGGGTGGCCCGGGGTCCGCTCCAGCCATGGGACCCCTACGGCAGCCCCCTGATTCCTGCAAGCTGCTGCTGCTTCTCGTGCTCCTGCTGCCTCCGGTGAGTGTCCCTGGGACCCTGGCATGGGACAGAAGGAAGCGGGGAAGGGTTGGGTGCTGACCTCCCCAGCGGAGCAGAGCACCCAAAAGTAGGAAAAGAAACATAAAATGCTTCATTTGAGGTCGAAGATGGTTTCTTCACAGCTCCCTGGGGGCTCTTAGGCAGCCCCTATCCCACCCGGGCTGTGGAACATCAGCCCCAGCAGTACCATAACCCAGAGCGGAGCCGCTGGACCTCCTGGCATGCCCTGATGCTGCAGTGGCGCTGGGTGCCCGGTCAGGGGCTGCCTGGCTGCCCCTGCCCTATGCACAGCTGAGCAGCAGCTGCTCCCTGCAGAGACACCAGTGCCTTGCGCCCACAGTTAGCGGTGGCTTTGCCCCCTCCTTGCGTGGGCTGGGAAGTCCCATCTGCTCGGTTGGGGTAGGGGGATGCAGCAGATGCTGGTGGTGTTGATATTTGTCCTGTGGACTTTGTGACGAGTGGTCAAATTAACATCTGTACGGGGAAACTGAGGCAAAAAGCAGTACTAGCCACTCATGAGTCGGTTCAGATGGGAGCCAGGAACATCACCCGTCCTGCTGAGAAAAGGGGGGCAAAACCTCCTGCAGGAGCAGAGCTGTCCCAGCCAGCAAGTGAAGGATGAGACATGCCAAAATTGGTGGGTTTGTAATTTTTTTTTATCACTAACTAGCTAGTTTCCTCACTCTGGCTTTGAATGTGCTGCAGTTTGCCCTGCTAACGGAGTCGGACCCTTGCCCCTTGGAAACTCTTCCATCTGGCACTTGCATCTTGGCAGAGCGGTGCCCTTAAGTGTCATGTACTTTTGGAGGGAACTGGAAATAATTGTCCTGGTTCTTTATGATGTTTAAAAGGTGAGCAATAGAAAGCCAAGGGAAATGTCAGAGCAAATGCAGAGATGGGCTCTTCTGGGGCTGGCTGCAGCAGAAATAGCGACTGTCCCAAATGGTCAGGTCTTTTAGTGCCCWGTGTCCTGCTGTCAGTCTCTTTCCTCCCCCAGGTGCGAGCCACGCATCCCGACTGCGCTGTCGTTTCCTATTTCCAAGAGCGAGAGGCCAAATGCCTGCAGCTTATCAGGAGCGAGAGCCGGARTGCAGCTTTGCCGGAGCACCCTGGGCTGCAAGGTGAGAGCTGCCAGGTGCAGGGCACGTATCGGGGCGCAGCTGGGGACTGGGGAGAGTTTGCTAATGGGCTCATCAGGAAAAATCTTTGTTAGGTTGCAGCATGCCCTTTAAATGCACAGACGAGGGAAAAGTGGGTATTTCCAGGGAAAGAAAAGGTGCAGGTGCAGCCTGTGCCTGGAGAGGAGAGGGAGGATGAGACTGCGGCAGGAGCAGCTGCGTGGGCTGAGAGGACTCAGTGGTGCAAAATGGACATGGCGACAAGTCCCAGAGCTCTATTACAGCTCCCCTTGATCAAACCGACCCAGAGCAGCACCAGTATAGAGGGAGTCCATGTGTCCCCCCCGTCCAAGTGCACCCCAGGACATGGTACACAAGTGATTCACGCTCACAACCTGCTGCTGTGCACGGAGCTCTGCGTGTGAGCACTTCAAGCCATGCAGGACCTGTCACCGCTTAATACTCTCTTCCCTTTTTAATTCAATTGGTTTTAATGCACAGTCTGTTTTGAGCAACTTAATTTTATGTCTCTCACACTTTTAAACTGATTAACCCACTGAAACACTGTTTCAAAGTACTCCTTTTGTACAGTTTTTAATTGCATTACAATCTCCATCTAAATGCAGCTTGGCTCAAACTCTGGGTAAAAATTATCACCTAGTGAATAAGACAAGTGTCACTCAATGTGCTTCATATGATGCAAACRTAAAGAAGAAGGATCTCTGTAAATGCATGTGAAGGTGCATGATTGGTTAAGGAACTGTGCAAAGATGCAGCATAACCTGCTTAGCAGAGAGAGCTGAGCAGATTGGAAAAGGTTCATTTTGCAGCCCATGCAATGTCAGGAAGGGCAAAGAATCTCRCTTCAGGAAAACAACAAAGAAGCATGAATGCATAATTAAAAACAGCATTTAATCCCTCRTTTCTACTTGATTTCAAGCATGCTTGAGGTCTGTCTCTACTGCCCAGCTGGGGCTGTGCCCCTTTCCCCTTGCTTGCTACTGTGGGAAGGGTCCAGCAAGGAGAAGTGATGGGGACATCAAAGGACAGATTTCATCTCATGTGTTCCCACCATCTCTGGGGACAAGCCAAGAGATGGTGGCAATATAGTGGGAGCGAAAAGAACAGGGACCTTGAGCTCCAGTATCAYGTTAGTAACCCTTAGAAGGATTGTGAAGCTGCTTAGATGTGGTGTTTGCTGTCACTTTTGTAGTGTTCTCAGTTCAAAATCTGCTCCTGTACCTGAAAAGCTCTCAGGAAAGGCAGGGTTTACTGCCCCAAAACCATTGGGAAGAAATAATTTTCTTCACATCAGACTTCACTTTGTAGCAGTGGAAGTGGAAAACCTCCTGCTGTGTCAAGAAAAACACTGCAAGAATAATGTTGCTCTTGTGGAAATTTCAGACTTCCACCAGAAGCATTCAAACAAAATGGTTTGCTTTAGGTCAATCCAGACACAATATCTTGGGCTCAGCTGGTGTGATTTGCTGGCTTGCTGCAGCATCAGTGCAGTCCCAGAGCCTGGGGACATGGGGCCGCACAAGGATGTGGCCAGCCAAAGAAACACTGGAGGGGCACTGAAGCTCCTTCCCCTGTCCACCAGTGCTCTCCTGCCCACCCCTAGCAGATTTGCAATGATTTGCAGTGGTTTCTTTGCTTGTGTTTTGAGCTCTATCCCACCAGAAATCTCCTCCAGCTTCTCTGTGGTCTTTGAAAGGAATATGCCATATGTCTCTGTTCCTGCACAGCCCGAGAAATAGGGTTCTTTAGACCCCCACAGCTGCCCGGAGAGGGTAAGAGTGGAGAGTGAGACTTAAATCTTTCCTCCTCATCGCCGACTGCCTGGAGATCTACCTGCTCTGCTGCTTCTAGGGCACATCCAGAGGGTTTTTTATCAGCCTCTAAGAAATGAGCTGTCCTCAGCAGCTGTCCCAGGCCAGTACTTGTATTCATCATGCCAGTTCTTCAAAGCAGAAGTTAAGATGTTCCTTGGCTTTTTAATAGCACTGCAAATCCCTTTAACTCTGGCCAAGGTACCCCCAGTCAGCTTGGCTGAAACCAGAGAAAACTAATTAGACTTGTCTGATTTCCCCATTCCCTGAGTGAGAATAAATGTGACTCCAGGTTAATAATGTGTATCTACAAGGTTAATAATGTCCATGTGCAGGAGAGAGCTGTCCCTTGAGCGTGATGGCCGTGTCTCATCCTGACGTGCTCGACTGCTAATTCTTCAAGGCCTCGTATCTGCTTGGCTGTGCGCGTTTCCAAGGCAATTGCAGAGTTATTTAAACACAAGCTGGTGCTAACAAAATATATTTAAGTTAATTGCTCTCCTGTAAGTGTTGCAGTATTTTTTCTTTTCCTCTTCCTGAGGGATGGAGAGATGTCCTGGCTGGCACCACAGAGCCCCTGTGCCTACTTGGTCCCTGAAGGGCAGATTCCTGCTCAGCTCTGCTCACAGCTCAGCAAAGGACAGGTTTTGCTCTAAGCTGCCTGCGTTTTTTGATGTGTTTGTGCTCTTCATTTTCCTCTCTTTCTTCTCTGCCCAGGTAGCTTGGGCATCCTAAGGTTGTTTTTGTTAGTGCTCTGAGAGGGGATGATCTTTGTACAGCAAGAGAGCCGGTGGAGTCTTCATCCTTGGAGATGCTCCAAAGCTCTCTGAACATGATCCTGGGTGATGGGTTCTAGGTGACACTGCTTGAGCAGGGGACTACTTGATTTCAGTGGTCACTTCCAACCTCAACTGGGAAGCACCCCAGTGCTTCCTGCACCCAGGTAGCCCAGAGTCTCTTTGCAGCAGCTGTGGGTCTGACGTAGCCACAGGAAATATCAGGACCTCACTTACCGTGGGACTAAAAGGATAGCTGACACCCAAGGACACGATTCTCAGAATTGGAGCCAGGTTGCTCCTARTTCCTAATGTGGTAAGGCATGGCCCTATAGAGGGAATGACGACCTCGATGATGCCTCCTCTCCCATTACAGCATGTCCAGGCTAGGCAGCCACCRGCATGTCTGCTTCCTGCTGTCCCCTTGTGCCATGGAGCTGCAAGTGTTTTCTTCCCCCTCACTCCCGCACTGGAAGAAGTTTCTCCCAGCTTCCCACTGAGAATTGTTGCTGTGGATGTCTCCTGGTCCGGGCTTCATCTCTAGTACTGTGCCTGTTCCCAGCAGCACTGACTTGTCCATCTGACTGTCCCCAGGCTGCCTGACAGAGTGGGATGGAGTGAGCTGCTGGTTGGCTGTGTCTGTTGGCCAGTCCCAAGCTGTTGCCTGCCCTGACATCCACCACGTCTTCAAGAAGTCAAAAGGTGAGACATTGGTGTCAGGCTCTGAATCCAGGATGGTGTCATGGGGGCACTTCTGTGATTGAGGGCCCTCCCCCTGKACTGGAGACCTCCTGGGACTGAGGGATGGAGCTGCTTTGCACCCATCTCCTTGCCCAGGAGCCTCRTGTCAGCTCCATGGGACAGTCCCATGACAACCACCCTGTTCTACAGCTCAGTGCCTAATGCACTTGGGGGTGAAAGCAGAAAGGTGGGACGCTAACACCCTAAGGAAGTTCCCAGGGTGATCCTTGTAGCTCYTCTGAGGTCCTTCTTGCCGCTGCAGCTCTGATCCAAAGGAACTGCACAGAGTCAGGATGGAGCTTTCCCAGCCCTTCCTACCACAACGCCTGTGAACTGGAGGTCATTGGCAGCAGTAATGACACAGAGGCCAAGGCAAGTGTAGGGCCCCGGTGTCCCCAGGGGCAGCTGGCATCACCCTACCCTGGGAGGGAACCTGTGCTGCGGGCAGTGCAATGTGGGGAGGCTGGCCAGGGTTTCTCCTTGTTTATGTGTTGCTCTGTGGGATCTGAGCTAGGTTGGGTGTTCACACAAGTGGGCAGCATCTCCAAGGGCTCCAGCATGCCTGAGCAGCCCTGATCCCTCACTTGGCTGGTGATTTCTCTTCCAGAAAGACTACTTTGTCACCATGAAGGCACTTTACACCTGTGGCTACTCCACATCCCTCGCAGCCCTGTTCCTGGCTATTGGTATCTTCTCATGCTTCAGGTAGAGTTTGGCACTGACCGCTCCATGAGCTTGTCTGTGTTGAAGCAAGACACAGATAAAAGTGCAACATGGTCTCTCGGACTCACTGAATCTTCAGCTTTCCCTTTCAGCCCTCATTTTGTGAGGACTGCCTTTGTGAGGGCTGCCTTAGTGTCCTGCCAGAGGATGCTCTCTGGAGATGTTCCCCAGCACACCTATCCTAGGCAAGAAGCCTCTACAATGGCAAAATCTCTTCCTTTGGGGAGTTCAGAGCAGCAAAATTTTCTGTAGAGCTTTGTGCCCCACCATCACTAAAGCACAGCTCACCAGGCCAGGGTGCAAGCTATGGAAGAGGCTCCTAGCTGCTGTGCTGGGGCAGGAAGGGCCTGGGAATCAGAATCTGGACCTGGCTCCTTCCCTCCTCACTTTTACATGAACTGCAGTGTTACTTGGGTCATGGTAAGGCCATCTGCCCTGGCAGGTTTGCTTAGGTGTCCTGGTCAGCCTTGACACTTGGAAGTGTTGGTCCAGATATGTCTTAGCAGCAGCGGGAGCATTTATGAGCATCCTTGATGGAAATCAGTGCTCAGGGTAATTAGCAAACAAAAGGCTTCTCTGCCTATTTGATTTTCTTCTTGCTGGACACAGTATGCCTCTTCCTTACCCTAGGAAGCTACATTGCACCAGGAACTCCATTCACATTCACTTCTTCACCTCCTTCATATTGCGTGGGGCTGCTGTGTTCATCAAAGATTCCCTCCTCTTCTCAGATGAGTCCATCGACCACTGCACAATGTCAACCGTAAGCTGCTTGGCCAAGGGGACACAGGCGGGAAGATAAAAATGTCTTGAGATGCTGTCTGGGACCAGGCCAACCTTCTTGTCAGCACCCCTGAGCCTTTCCTTTCTCTGTCCTCACGAGGTGAACTGCAAAGCAGTCATTGCTGTCTTCCACTACTCTGTTCTGGCCAACTTCTACTGGCTGCTGGTGGAGGGAATGTACCTGCAGACCCTGTTGCTGCTCACCTTCACCTCTGACAAGATGTACATCTGGTGGTATATCSTCATTGGCTGGGGTGAGTGCAGTGCATCAACACCTCCAGCAAGGTTAACACGTCCTCCTTGTCCTCTGCTATGGCTGGGGGACTCACTGCTCTGAGACGCGCCTGGCCAGTGGGTCACAGAGAAGATGGTCCCCATAGTCACCACTGGTGGATTGCCTTGTCATGCCCTTCTTCTTGCCTAGTGCTTAATGGGAACACTGGCAGGTCTGTCCTAGTCTTTGCCCACTTGGGAGACAGGTACTAGGAGAGGTGCACAAGAAGGGGAAACATTTACCAGATTAATTGAAATATCAGCCTGTTTTACTGGCAAGGAGGCTGCAGCAGGCTTGCTGGATTCCTCCCAGCATCCCCGTGATGATATTTGAGCCTCAAATTGCTATAGAAAAGAGCTATTGAACCAGAGAGGTTGAGTGATGGAGGAGACCATGTAGACGCAGCAGAGGTCAGAGATGGAGATCTCTGGAAAATTGCTGAAAGGGGAAAAATACTTGCTAACMCCATCAAATTGTTAATGAAAGACTTTGGAGCTTCTGCTGTTGATCCACCCTGATGTGATCAGGATGGGATGGAGAAAAAATCTATCCCACTTCCTTGGCTTTATCCGCCTGGGGCTGCAAACACTCCGCAAGGGAGCCCTTGGTTAGAGGTAAAGGGCAGGAGGGACAGCAGTGGAGATCGCTGGGGTGACACAGGCTCATCGCTATCCGTGAACATCATCCCCTTCTGAAAGCTGGAGAAGCAAGGAGAAGCTCCACCTTCCTGTCACCTCCAGGCTGATACCAGGCACGGGTAGAAAGGGCAGGAGATAGAGGGGAGCCACAACAGCAGCCCCACAGCCCCAGAATGTCTCCTCATCTCACCCTGGTTCTGTCCTTGCAGGTGTCCCGATGCTGACAGTGTGCGTGTGGGTCATCACGAGGCTGCAGTATGACAACCATGGGTAAGAAATGCCACCCTCTTCTTGCTCCAAGCCAGTTTGGCCATGGGCACCAAGGACTAATGTCTGGTATGGAAAACCCTGGGGAAAGAACTAGAGCAACACTTGATTTTAGCACTATTTCTATTTTTTTGGTGGTGCCCAAAGATTCATGCTATGGTAGAAAGTCTTTGAGAGGTGCTATGCAAATGGGGCAGTGGGCTGGGGTGGCTGGAGGGACCAGACCTAGGACGAAGGTGCTAGCGGGCAGCTGATTCCTGCTGSTTCCCTCTCCCATAGGTGCTGGGATGACTACACCAGCCTGTACTGGTGGGTGATTAAGGCTCCCATCCTCCTGGCCATATTTGTAAGTATCTCCCAGAGCATCCTGGTGAATATGGATGTGAAGACCCAGCCAGGGATGTGCTGTGGAGCCTGAGTCAAGGCTTCCTGTGCCAGGTGAACTTCCTCATCTTCCTCAATGTCATCAGGATGCTAGCGCAGAAGATTTGTTCTCCAGACATCAGCCAAAACTACAAGCAGCAGTACATGTAAGGGAGAGCTCAGAGAGGGCTGGGGGCTCCCTTGACAACTTGGTTTGTGGGAGATCTGGTGGGATATGAGGGAGACCAAGCAATCCGAGACTTGTCTTTGATAGAAACCTCCCTCTGGGTTGACATCTAAATTTTTGGGAAGGTGTTGGCTCTCAGGGGATATTTCTGTGCAAAATGCTTCTTCCCTGGGGCTTGTCTCATGCTTTTTTCCTGAGACCTTGCTGCAGAGTGCCCTTGCAGTGGGAGTTTCATCAGGGTACAGGTGACCACCGGCACCTGGACCCCTGCTCACGCCATGATGCTCTCCAGGCGGCTCACCAAGTCCACGCTGCTCCTCATCCCTCTCTTTGGGGTGCACTACATGGTGTTTGCGCTCTTCCCTGAACACATCAGTGTGGACGCCCGGCTGTACTTTGAGCTGGTCCTTGGCTCCTACCAGGTGCTAATGGGGGAAGGCAGGGGCAGAGTCCGTTTCCTTGGGCTTCTCCTTCAACCCCTCTCCTTGAGCTAGTCCAGAGCTCCTTTGCTATAGTTGCACTTTGGCAACTCCTTCATTGTGCTGTCCTGAATCTGAGGCTTAGCTCCTGTGCAGACCTTGACTTTGCCATGTGGCCTGCAAAATCCCCACATGCCCATCAAATCCTGACCTACCTCTCCCATCCTCTTCTGAGATCACACCAGGACCCCCCTTAGCCTTCCATTCCCCCTGCCATGCATCACAGTGCTGGGGACCCATGTTCCTTCAGGAGAARGCTGTGTCCCTTGGTCACTAGGACCATAAGGAGCAGCAAATAGATGGCACTGATCTATCTACTGCACACGGGGTTGATAACTGGGCATAAGAGGTTCCATAAGCTAGTTCCAGGACTTGGCACCATAAGACTCTGAGCTGCCTAGAGGCAGCTCTTCTCTGGGAGGATGTCAAGTGCTGGGCATTTGCATGGAGCTCCAGCCCCTTTCTTTGGGTGACACTTGTCCTTTCCGTGCATTTCAGGGCTTCCTAGTGGCTCTGCTCTACTGTTTCCTCAACGCAGAGGTGAGTGTCCCCTAGCGCAAGCACAGCCTCTACCCCCCAGCTATTAGATGGATGCTGGCATGTGAGTGCRCACCCAGATGGGCAGTGTGTGCATGTTGCCCTGCCTGTGTGCAAACACCTGTGCACACCAAATGTGCAAACATGCATGTAAACATGCATGCGTGCTGTCAGCATTTGCAGGTGGGAGCTGGGGGCCAGGCAAACACGGTGTTGCAGGGTGTACCTGCACCCCACGTGCTGTCATCCAGGGGGTCCCTTTTTGCATCCCCAAACACCCTGGGTGCTGTGTGATGGGGGTCTGGGCAGTGCTGTACCCGTGGATGTGTCTGTGGGTGCCAGCTCTGCTCTGATGCCGGTCCAGGTCCAGGCTGAGATCAAGAGGAACTGGGGCAAGTGGCAGTCGTCCATGGAGAGCAACATCTTCAACCTGGTGACGCAGGATTTCACAGCATGAAGGAGGCAACTGGTAGGAAATGACCCCCTAAGGACGTGGCAGTGCAGCTCTGCAGCTGCAGCCCTGCAGCCAGAAAGGCAATAAAAGGGATTTCCCATTCCTGTGTCTCAGTGACTGCTGTGAGCTGTGCCTGGGGACATCACTAGCGGCTTGTGAATTGGCTGTTCTTTTTGCTCATAACTGCTGCGGGGTTGTATCTTCACTGCCCACAGCAGCCTTAGCAGGTTGGTCTGTGTTTTAGACAAACCTATGAATACCCCATGTCTTCTGAGTGGGGACTGGCAGGGAACCACAGCTACCATTTAACAAAGGAGATGAAGCAGCCGCCAATCCTCAAGAGATTTCCTGATGCATTTCCTCCGCCACACACCTCCCAACTGCTTCCTTTGATTGTGGAATTGCTTCCCTCAGAGAGGATGCCTAGAGGGAAGCTGCTTTTCCTTCGCTTGGAGGAGCGAGCAGGGCTTGGCCATGGATAAGAGAGCAGCAGAGGAAGGCAAGAAGGATACAGCTCACCGTGACCCAGAAATGCTCTTGTCCAAGCCCAGATCACCAGTACATTGGGGCCTCATTTCACACCCTGCCTTGTTCCAGCTGCAGATCATGAGAAGCCCAGTCCAAGGGGGACGGGGTGGCTAAAATCCCTGCTAGTATCAAAATCTCCTGGGGGTCCCTGTTTCCTCCTGCAGGAGCATCCTTGATGGATAGCAGATCCTGCCTTGGCCGTCTTTTTAGATGAGAGCAAGTGAGCCCTCAAATGCCTTTCTGCAAAATTCCCGGTGTCTCCTCTGACCTGGAATGTTTTCCTGAGACCTGAGCCGTCCAATCTCAGCAGAGCTCCTCAAAATTCCCACGTTTTGATTTCTCTGTGCAGCTCTGTGTCCTCCCTTAAGTAAAACCCCTTCCATGGGCCATTTCCCAGCTGGATCTCCAAAGATCACCCCCTCTAAAAGGGAAAAGGAGACATGGAGAGGTTGGCAGGGTTGAYTGAGGGTGGGATGGAAGATGCTTTGCCAAGCAGCTCCCCTCACTASCAACACCTATATCCTTGGACGGGAATTCTCCAAAGGGGCTAGGGCAGCTCCTGCCACAGCCAGGACACAGGCACAGAGGAATAAACCGCCCTCTCCATCGCTAGCGAGGAAGGTGCTGCTGCTGCAGGACTCCCTGGCTGGGGGACGAGGGAGGTGGTGACAACRGCTGCACCAGGACAGAGGACATTTAGCAATAATGCCACAGCGGGCATGATGCTTTGAAAGCCTCCACGTGTCGCATGTGTTTTCAGGAGCCTGTGCGTGTGATGCCGTCACTGCAGGGTCCACGTCACCCTGCTGGGGGTCACTTGTGCCCCGCGTATTCGGGATGTCCCCAGGGAGTGGGGTGTTTTGCCTGGGGCCTGTGGGTGGCACTGCTGCCCTGCAAGGTCCCTGTGGGCTCTGACATCAGATCCAGCCCTGCACGGAGCTGTGTCCCCGCAGCCCACCCGGGACGGAGGCTCAGCTGGCACAGGGGGGACCCCCCAAGGCCACCCAATGACTCTGCCTGGGCCCCAGGAACAACCAGAGAGCAAGGTAAGGGTCGCTATGCACATCCCAGTGCTACAGCAAGACCTGGGGGACCCTTAGGTGTCCCCCCTGCACTGCCCTGGCCAGGAGAGGGTTAATCAGCAGTGGGAATGGGAATAATGCAGGGATTGCGGCTGCCGTTGCTCGTCCGGGGGCTGGGAGAGCTGGGAATTTGGCTCYGCTTCTCCTGGCGAGCTGGGAGAGCAGCTCAGACACCCTGGGGCRCCCCAGGGTGGCCCCCTCGCTCCTTCTTGCAGCCACCAGCTCTGGGATGAGCCCTGTGCCGGCGCGGGATCCCAGCTCGGGGACATCCTGCCCCTGCTCTACATCGGTGCAAGCCAAGAGCCCCCGGATGGGTATGTCTGGGCCATGTGGAGCAACATCCTTATCCCACCCGTGACACCAAGGGCACTTCTGTCTCCATCCTGGCTTGTCCCCACTCCTATTCCTCCCTGCATTTCCCCGGGCATCAGTGTTTCCAGGTGGCCCAGACAGGCAAAAGGAGATGCCAGGAAGAGAGGGGAGGATCCTGGGGAGAGATGTCCTTAAAACCCTGCTCTGAGYAGGAGGGTCTACACCCGCACGGGTGATGGCAGAGCCTATGTCCCAGCACAGCTGGGACGCCAGGACCAGCTGCTCCCCGTGGAAGGTGAGCGCGGCTGACCCAGGAGAGCTTGGCATGGGAACGATGGTCTGCAAGCAGAGCCAGGCTCGGGGGGCTCGTTCCATCACCCCACGCCCTATTTGTGGCCAAAGCGCAGCGGGAGACACCTCCGCATCTGGTGGCACCTCTTCCTTGTGGGGTGCCCGCGCCCGGCCCCAGCCACGCGGCCCCTTGATTGGCGCCGCGCGGGACGAATGCCACAGCTGAGACAGGCCGAGGCTACCTGAAGGACCCGTCGTGTCCTCAGGTTTCACTCATGACCATCTGACAGCAGCAGCAGCTGCTCTGCCAACAGCCACTTGCGGAGCTGAAGGAGAGGGAAATTCCAGCCTGAAAAGCTCTTGCCTTGGGATTTTGCTCTTCGCAACGAAAAGTAAGTGGCGCGTCCAGCTCTGGGGCCAGGCCAGGTCACCGAGCTGTGTCCCCAGGTCTGGAGGGTCCCAGTGTTTCCCTTTCTGGTGTCAGGAGGGTGCAGGCAAAGGGCCCTGCTGGCCCTGAGCTCTGCCACCCGTCCAGAGGTACATGGGGACAGCAGAGCCCCAGGGCAGCACTGGCAGTTGGCACCTGCTGGGGTGGCCCTCGGCACTTTTGGCGACCTCAGTAGTGCTGCAAAACAGCATGGAATGGGGGAGCAGATCCCCACAGCGAGGCAGGAGCGGCGGCAGACGCAGGGACGGGGGGACCGGCCCCGTCCAGCAGCTCTCCAAGTGCAGCCGGGCCGGCAGGATGAGACGAGCGGCTGTGGGGACGTGCCCGGGCGCGTGCTGGGGAGCCGCCGCGGCGAGCGGAGCGGCAGGGCCRCGAGCGCCGCTCCGGAGTCACCGTCCGCCTTTCTCCTGGCTTCGCCTCCGGGAGGTCTAAATATAAACCTTGGCCTGGGCAAGCCAAGGTTGCAGGAAAGGTCTGCGCCGGGCTCCGCAGTGTCTCCTTTTGGGAGCCCAATGGGGAACGGCCCCAATCACTGCGTGCTCCAGATGCACCCATGGGTGCACGAGAGGCTGGAAAGCAGCAAATGGGAGACTGAGGGGTGGAAATTTTCAGGACAGCCAGGAAGAGGCAGTGCCGGGGTGGGATCGGAGGGCGAATCGCGCCGGCTGCACACGGCCATCGAGGTCTCCCGCCGTGGGTGCACGGGGCTGCCCGAGGYGGCTGGCGAGCAATGCGAGCGCACGCAGCTTGGGGTCGTTGGGCCCCACATGAGGTGCTTGTGGGGTTCGTCAGGAGGGGACCGGCCGCCCTGGTCCCTCCATCGCTCTCATCRTCCATCCGCTCCTGCATCCCGCCTCCCTTGCTCCCAGAGGCCACGAGGGTGTCGGTGGGAAATGTCGGAGCGGGAAGGCAGTTCCCAGAGACACTGCAGATGGGCAGCACTTGCTCCAAACCCCCGGGACATCCCACGCTCTGRGACCCGGGGCAGGAAGAGCAGGAGCTCTGGGTATGCAGAGATGGACACACAGATGCTGTCCTTACCAGAGCTGCCTCCTCCAGTCTGTGCTAGGAAAAAACTTGACGTAATATTGGGTTTGGGGGAAAAAAAACAGAGAGTATTTATGGGTATCTCACAGTGCAAAGAGCACAGGMAAAGAGCACAGTGTCCTGCCAGTGCTTGCCTAGGCTAATATTTGGACAGTGCTTCCTGCTCTGGGCTCTCTAGCCTATGTGGAGCAGAGGGTCACTCGAGCATCACACAGGGCAAAGGACGTCGTAGAGTCGCTCCTGCTCAGCATGGAGAAACCTCGCTGGACCTGGGGCTGTGGCAGCCACGTAGGGCAGCGGTGTCAGGTAAATATGGGCCATTCAGCATCACACCGGTGTCCAGAGGGTGCTGGCCAAGGCGTCTTTACGCGGMGCGGGGAGGATGTGCTTCTGCTGGGCGAGAAGAACCAAGCCTGGACACCCCAGCCCTAGACCTGGGGGAGCCAGGAAGGGATTTCAGGCCTCTGTGCCTGTCTGTCTCTCCGGCCACCTCCCTCTTAGTTATTTATATAGCCGGTACCAACATGTCATGTCAGATCTCCCTCCTGTAGCTGCGTGGGTGGATTAGCTCCTGATAACCTGCCTCATTAGGGGTGCAGGGGAGAGCACTGTGCAGCCCCAGAGCGCTGCAAGGACTCCAGCCAAGGGTGCTCCCAGCTCAACTATTTGGTGCCACCTCTGGGAGCCCCATTGGGTCAGCTGGGGTCCCCTGCGGTCCCTCGGAGGCACCAGACCTCCAAACCAGCCCTGGCGCTGAGGGGAGGTCCAGAGGAGGCCGCCTTCGAGGGGAGGCCTGGGGACACATGGGAAACCTCCACGGACACTGGTGCTGGCCCTTCCCTTCCCCCATGTCGTCCCCTGGCTGGGCTTAACGCCTGACATCAGAGACGCTGGCAGGGAGGCGGCGTTGGGTGACTCCTGCCCGCGGCCACCGGGCCGTGGGCAAGCGCAGGGTGCCCGCGTTAACGCTTCTCAGCTGCCCCAAACGCCGCGGGTAAATCCCCGGCACGTCCCGCTCCCCGGCAGCCCCCGGCAGCAGCTCCGTGGGGAATGTGCTCCGAGCAGCGCCGGGGACAGCGAGTGGGGACACTGGCGCACTCCAGGCAGGAAGGGGTTAGCACGAGTTGCTGCAGGATGTTGCAACCTCCTATTTCCATCTGCGGCCTAGGAGAGTATCTGAGGACTTCACAGCTTGCAATGTATGTGTGTGTCGCCCCCACCGTCCGGCACATCAAGGTACCCTTGGCATGGCCACGGCCAAAAAGGCAGCTGAAGTGCCTGCGTTCGAGCGGATTTGCCTCCGCAACAGTGACAAAATCCTTAAAATGAATCCCCGTGGGGCTCGCGGTCCGAGTTACGGGAGCTCAGCACCGTCGCCT